TAGACAATACTGAATTTTTTATCTTTTGCTCAATATTTCAGCGAGGAGAGCACAATTGAGGTTTCTTGAACTATTCATGTGTATGTCAATCAACTTACATGAGAGTTGCTTCAAAGATAGCTTTTTGCAGGTCTCTAATCAGTAATATAAATAGTTTTCGATTTTTCTGCGTTCTTCACGATTTTTCTTGTGTGACATTTGGTCATTTTGGGATTTCGTCGGGAAGACATGTTAGATTCGCCAGAATATGTTGGCCTCTTTAATTAAAGATAAGCCTCAGTTTGGTAATCATCAGTAAGTAATTGCCTGTTATCCGTTGTTCGATTAGCTATTACAAAATTGGTTTTTAGAATTTTTAGAAATTAACAGGAAAACTACATTGTTTAAACACAAGCAAAATGATTTGACATTTTTAAAATTTACCCTTTATTAAATATTTTCTCTTGGCGGATTTATGTACACCAAGAGACATATGCTACTGTAACAACAAGCAAGTAACTAATCTAGAGAGACGGTGGTCTCCAATGAAAATAAAAACCGACTCAACAGAGACGTGGTCATAAGTAATTGTAAAACAGTATATCAACGTTAAGGTCAGCCGAATTCCTTCTAACAAGGCAAGTTAATATAAATTACACAATTTTTGAAATATTGGTGTCTCAGAATAATTCCATTGTGTTTGATTTCTGTCACTTCAGTTGTTAATTGTGTTATCGTCTATTAATTGGCAATAGCAATATGCTTATTTTACAACGAAGACAAGAAGAAAACCCAATAACCAGACTCAGTCGGATTATGTCCCAAAGGTTTGGAAGGGTGCCGTAAGTGAAGCAGATTATGCCTCTGTCTTTACCAAAGACCACAAATATCTCGGAGCACTTTATCGATCCGAACATTGTCAAAAACAAGCCACACTATATTCACGAATGGCAAAAGCATGACTAACGAATTCCAAAAACGTATCCTAACAATTAACAGTACTTATCCATTTGCGAACCCTACCTGCCATGGAAACATTTGACCATAATATTCAAGAGACCAAGTGACTGAGCATTAATGAAATGTTTCATGATTTTAGAAATTCAACCAGACAACGTAAAAGGGCGGTAAGACGTCTAGGATGAAGCGTGAATTCCAGGCTTAAGAACTCATATTACAACCACATCTTTTCAATCTCTTTCTAAATCGTCAAGAATCCAGTAAGCATATTCATCTGCATTTGAAAGCCTTGGCAGTGGACAACATATTACGCTTTTTACTGATATTCTTTATGTAAAAGTACTGTTCAGTTTTTATTGTTTTTGTACATTTTTACACTATAAATTTCTTTATATAGCTTAGCATGCTTTCCTGTAAAAACGATTCACAATGATTATAAATGGCTTAGGAACAAAACTACGGAGAATTCTTTTCATTTGCTGTTAAATCTAATGATAAAAGAGAAAGTCATAATGTCAACAGCGCAACCTCTAAAACCCTAGGAAAATTACTTGCATTTGTTATCAATTATGCATACTAGTAAGTTATATGACAACCACAGCCGACAGAAATTCGTGTTTGAAGGAGTGTATGGGAATTATATTTTCACATTGTTTAGTGTTAAGTAAGATTATGATGTCACTTTCCAACATAAAATATTCGTACATTTAAATCGGAAAGATGCGTTCAGATCATGACCTCGTATTTAGCGATATTAGAAAATAAAGAAATATGGATAAACTTGGTTACTAAGAGTATCCAGAGAGAAATATGTAACAATTCGTATTCAAATTAGGTTAAAAAGAAAATTAATAGGTGAAAAAGCACAATCACAAAGGTCAGTGGTGGAAGCGTTGATACGCAGCATAATCAAGAAGAACTTTCGTCAGGAAAGAAGCTAATAGCGCACAGGGTCACTATGATAAGACTTCCAGTCATACCTCCCATTCAACCGCTGCATGCCGAAAGCAGCTGTAGACTGAAACAGGAATTCGTAATATTCGTTAAGAAGGTATATCTGTCAAGTCACCGGACGTATTACCTATTGATTTATGTGCCATCAAACTGTTCACAAGAGTCTGAGAACTCGTTGACCTTGTAAACTATATAAATTATGGAAAGTTATAGATAGCTGAGAAGTTTTGTGTTTAGACTATGACAGCCTCAGAATGGAGTCTTTAACAATGGAATACCGTGGAATTGCGAAGATGTACATTTTTCAAATAGAGCATGAATGGACATGAAGTGGTGAGACGTGGTAGTTGTAATTGTAAATGAATAACGTAGATTTATCTCAAACTTCGATCGCTGTGGTCAAAATAGGACGAGTTTCGTACGTAAAACAACAATCTTACATTTGTAATGGATTCTATCTTATATTTTTTATGTTAAATATGTTTTTTTTTAATAATTGATTAGGGAAAATATCTACTGAATAAGTTACTTGGAATATAAAATTAGATTAATAGAACAATGAAAATAATGTAAAATGTGAAAAAAAAAGTTAAATATATTTTTGTATAAATAAGGAAAAGGTCTATATATATTTGGGCATGTAAAACATTGTTTCTCGACTCAGAATGAAATAACTCTGTGTTTTGTCAGCTGTATCCTTTCGCACTCACGGTACATACGCTAATGAGCTGACACAAACATATTAAAAATCCAGGATGACGATATGAAAGGACGATTTATGTGTTCAAATTAGAATCATACTATAGTCAAGACTAGTAGTATATAAAAAACATTAATTTTGTTTAAACAAAGTTCTTCATGGCCGAGGTATGTACGAAAAGCAATGAAATCTTTCCAGATGACTATTCAATCTATGAAACAATTAGAGGCCTATCCATCAGGCAAGATGGGTGCGACGTGTCGAGGGCAATATCTTGTAATTAAGGGCAATACCTTGAAGTCAAATATGTCTACCTGCATTGGATAATTATTGAAAGACAAATAGGAGATAAAATACATTGTGTTAATTGATACTTTAGGTATAGATGCCAATAACAAAATGTGGTACAATTATTTTAAACAATTTATTCCTTTACATTCAAAATAAACATTCTGTAAACGAATATTTCAATTTCAATTTTTTCATAAAAAAAATGTCTTCCACAAATGCATTTGCATTATTAATACAATGGAAATGTTATTCAAGTGTTCTTACGCATAAATCTAACATTATTAATAATTAGATAAATACTGATTCCTGATTATAATTTCTATGGATTTCTTTTTGAAATTAATCATTACTACATCTTTATTTTTTTTTCGGTTGCCTGTTAATAGTTTACAGTCAACGTACAATTATAATTCAGTTTCTGCATCAAATGGTACATGATTTGTATTTATGTATGACTGAGTAAAGCAAATAGCTGTAACTCAACACCAGCTTAAATACGATTCAAATAGTATTAAGTTGGATAATATAAAATGCGAGAGCTGCTGAAACATGAAAAGCAAATGTTAGATACATCACAGTGAAACATAAAGGGTTATGAATCTCAGCAGTAACAACTGGTACAAATCACGTTACGAATAAAAATACGTCTGAATTCTCCGATCGAATACGTCCAGCATTCAAAGCTTTTCTGAAAAATATATTTTTTGAGCAATTTATGAGAATTCAGATTTATGGAATGAAAAATGCTTAAGGTATATAATTTATGAGTAAAAGATATTGTACTATTTGACGATATGGCTATTATTATCAATATTATGGTAGGAGGACTATTATATTTACAATATAGATTGGTTGTACTCATAATCAATCAGGTTTTCGACTCGTCGACTTGGCATACTTACTAATAAATAATTCTGATTGAGGCTAGGCCTCATCTGAGACTGAATGTGAACTATCCAGAATAATTTGAATCAATTATATTCCTTGTTTCTTGTTTTTCTAAAAGTAAATACCTTCTGATGTGTTTCGTAGCAGTGCGTCCTTTTAAGGATTATATTTTGAAAACGTGAAGTTTTGTTGAAAATAGAGTCTAAATATATATTACGCCGTGAGTGCCATTTCCAATACATTAATGAATTACTTAAGAGCATTGTTTGACGTGAAACATTTTAATCCCACTAAACATTTAGGGTTGGAGAACATAGAGTATCATTTGCTCTTTAAGGAATGACACAAAGCGGAAAGGTCACATAAAAATAAATTTATTATAAACATCTTACATAATACTTCCAAAGTTCTTAAATCTTATTTGCTTATAAACTTAGACTCTGAATTTTATGTTTTATGAATTTTGTTACTCCTAGGCTGCGGGTTTTTTCCGTAAAATAACGTCACCACCAAGAGGAACGTTAGGAAGAGGCTGAGGATATGCGCCACCAGGATATACACCACCAGGATAGACACCAACGCTGCCTCCAGTACCACCAGGATAGAATCCAGCAGAACCAGTAGCATAATAGTTCGGAATACCAGGTTCTATATTTCCAAAATTGTAAATAACACTGTGGTAATAAACTGATTTTCTTTGGATAATGGTTGTGAAACGAGAGAGAGAACAGTTTATTTGAAACTTTATTTTTTGGAATTCTTAAATGAAAAAAAAATAATCGTATCAAAAAGGTAACATCTACAATCTCTTAGATTTTTTGTGATAAATATTAGGTGTATGGTAACTATAAAGTTTAATATGTTTAATCAAAAAAATAGATCATAAACAGTTTTATTTAATTAGTTTTAGCATCAATTGTGCGAGACAATGGGGGTGAGTTTGGGCTTCAGAGGGATGTTTGAGTTTTCAGGTTATTAAAAAAGTCGTAATCTCAGAAATGCATCAATCTGTTAAATTCAAAAGTCACTTTTACTGCTAAAAGAACTCACTTCTCAATAGGCTACATATTTCTGGAGTTTAGGGGTTGGCCGGACTATATTCCTGTTGCACAAAATAGTAGAAGTGTTCGTATTACCTTAGTTACCTCACAGCAGCAAATAAGCTTCGTAGAGCCATATCTATCGATAAAATTTGTGAGTCCTTGGGAGAAAATGACTGTATAGAGTTGAGAAACCAGATCTTGTACTTTACAATATATAAGTCAAGTATCGTGCTTTGTTGGGATTCTCGTTTGTGGTGTGTAATTAATACCCTCAAAGCCTAGAAAACAGTTCGAAATAGATATAGTTTCAGATGTAGTAAGCAATTTAAATCTTTATCAATAATTGTCTTATAAAAAAGTGTTGAGAAAGAACTGGAAAACAGTTTGGGAATCAACCCACTATACATCCATGGCTGACTCGTAGACTTGGTGTTAACGAGATGTAAAGAAAGCTATTTACTGAAACTTTTATAACTTCGTACATATGTTCATCTTAAAATGTTCTCAAAAGTTTTCTATCAACTGGACTCACCAAATACACTCTTTTTTCAAAATTTAACCAGAAGTGAGTAAAAATAGCATTTAAGACCTTTTTTTTTCTACAAGTCATTGTAAGGAGGCATTCCGTTCGGTTTTAGATTTGACCACCTGGACTTTAAATAGAAAATGTGAAAAATATCTAGCATGTAAGTAATATTTATCACATATATCAAGGGTATTCGATAAAACTTCCATTTATTAGCACTAAATATGTTCTTTTCTTTTTACAATAACATAAGTAAAATGGAAAAGAATAAAAATATGTCTGGTTTACATTGCAAGCACTTGAAAACAACAGTAGCTCACTTAGAATAACACTAAACTTATCATATAAATTGGAGGCACAATTACTAATTTGACAAAAAATTGTTTATTTGAGTCAATAATCAACGTTTTTAATTAAGTTATGTAAAGGAATAATAGAAAATCAGTGATTTCATAAAAACAAACAAACAAAAAACTTACGGGCTAGGCCGCCAGAACTGCCTGGATAGCCGCCTTGTCCTGGGGCGCCTGATCCTGGAAAAGTTTGGTCAGGGGGTACACGAATTCGGCAGCACTGGGTAAAGCCATAGTTACAACACACCCGTCGTTGTTGCAAGTTTAGGCTTCCACAACGGTTGCAGTGTTGCAGATATTGTGCATGACTGATCACCACAAGAACGAACAAAATGAAAAAGCAAAGTACTAGCTTCATTGTTGACTGTTTCACTGAAAACAAAAATATGAAATGTAAGCTTCCATATCACAATTAACGATCATAGATATAAGATGTGTTATTTTAGTTCATGAAAAAAAAAGTTCTCTGACGAAAATATTTAAATTACCAATTAATTTGTAGGGCCTTTTATCTAATTTCTA